CGGCCCCTGCTCCGGGGCCCTGGGCTCTTTGGCCCCAGACCCAGAACTGGCTTTCTCACCGATCGGCTTCTCCACCTTCCTCCCTCAGTGTGGCAGCTGCCCAGCCCAGGATGAGGCGCGGCAGAGTGGCCGTGGTCTGTTACCACGGTCCCCTCGCCCAACCTCCCACACCCCCAGCCACAGTCCCCGCACCCCAACCTCCCTGCCCCCCAGCCACAGTCCCCGCACCCCAATCTCCCAGCCCCCCAGCCACAGTCCCTGAACCCTGGCCTTCTAGCTCCCCTACCAACCATGGTGCCCTCACCCGACCTCCCAGGCCCCCAGCCACAGTCCCTGCATCCCGACCTCCTGTCTCCCCTGCTGACCACGGTCCCCGCACCCTAACCTCCCAGCTCCTGGACGGAAGTCCCCGCACCCCACCCTCCTGGTTTCCTGCCCTCCCCACCCATTCACCTCCATCCTCCCAGGCAGGTCCTCGTCTTCATCCTCATCCACGAAAGCGAAGGACTCGGGGCGGCCACCCCGGGCGGCCTTGCCATCGTAGGGCAGCTCCAACAGCTTCTGGGCCATGTCCTGGGCAGCCCGCAGCCGCCGCTCGGCACTCAGGTGCCGCTGCAACAGGGCCTGCAGCTCCGACCGCTCCACGGAGCCCAGCAGAATCATGGACTCTGGGGAAACAGGCTCACCTGAGGCCTGCCCACCCAAAGCTCAGCAACACGCAGCAGCATCAGTGCGGGTAGGTCAGATGGGGCAGCCCTGCTCTCAAACCAAAGGAAACCAAACCCACTCCCTGCTGTCCAGTCGATTCTGATTCACAGCGACTCCATGTGTCACAGAGTAGAACGGCTCCATGGGGTTTTCTTGGCTGTAATCTTTAAGGACGCAAATTGCCAGGCCCTTCTCTGCCGCCGCTGGGTGGGTTGGAACCACCAACCTTTCAATTTGTTGCTAGTTGCCATCAAGTCAATTCCGACTCAGAGCCACCCCACAGGACAGAGTAGAACTGCCCCATAGGGTTTCCAAGGAGCGGCTGGTGCATTTGAACTGCCAACCTTTTGGTTATCAGCCAAGCTCTTAACCACATCAGGGCTCATTTGCACCACCTGGGGACCCAGCTAAGCTTTGACCCTCACTCCCTGAAAACTCCTTTTGAAAACCTTCCAGGCCTGGCCTCAGTCAGTCCCTTTCATTCCACCCATTTAGCACTTGCGGCCCAATTGGTAGTGCACTAATCGGCAATTATTTTGATCCAGCCCTTATATAGTCTGTTTGCAAACAGGTGAGCCCAGTATTAAAACAGACGACTCAACCGTGTTCAAATAAAAAAGAAACATCCAGCGCCATTCACATGACTGAAATGTGAGCAGCCCTGAAAGGGTCTACCAGCAGCCGGCGCACTGCCTCTTCCACCCAGGAAGACGCTAAAGAGGGACACCTCTGGGCAGCTGTTCTCAACCTTTTTGTCTGATGGTCCGTCCATGGAAGGACCTGGGTCCTTCCAGGATCTAAGTGAAATGTCTGCGTCTCCTGAGAAGGTCTTCTCTGTATGTTTGTGGAAATTCCGTTCCCACGATGAGTGTTTCATCGCCATGGAGGGCCATAAACCTGGAGCGCTATTGTTGGTCAGTGGATACTAAGAAAACGCTGCACCTTCTTGGCCGCACCCCGCTCCGAGGAAGACGCCCTGCTTTTGAAGGCTCTGGGCTTCGGGAAAACGTTCAGAACAAACCTATCATGACCAGTTTGAATACCCTGAGTTCCTGAAATCAGAACTATTTTAATGGCATCAAATAGCCCTACCTGATTTTTCTCCATTACATGAACTCAAGCTTTAGGCACTATTTATCTGATAGCTACTAAATGCCTATAAAAAGGCACTTTGGGGAATAGAGAAGTCACAGCCTCTACCCTCAGGAGCTCCCAGTCTAGTGAGGGGGACAAGCCATAGATATATAAACCATGTAAGAAACAGCACGAAGCAGGGTGAGGGCCGAAGGCAGGCAGAAAGGTGCAGGAGGAGAGGTGTGAAATCTCCGCCTGCTAGAACAGCCCGCCTCCCCGTGTGGAACAGTTTCATTTCCTCAGTGGTGTAAGCTGGACATTGAAGAGTGCGGATGCTTCAGCTGGCGCCCTGGTGGCACAGTGGTTAAGAGCCTCTAACTTGGGTAGTCAAGAGACAAAAGGTCAGCAGTTCGAATCTATCAGCTGCTCCTTGGAAACCCTACAAGGCAGTTTTACTCTGTCCTACAGAGTCAGAAGCAACTCCACAGCAACAGATTTTTTGGTTTGCTTCGGCTAAGAAGTCGCTGGGTGGTGCAAACAGCTAAGAGGCGCAGCCGCTAACCGAAAGGTTGGTAGTTCAAGTCCACCCAGAAGCACCCTGACGATCTACTTCCAAAGAACCAGCTATGGGAAGCCCTGTGGAGCACAGTTCTACTCCGACACACACAGGGTGGCCATGAGATGGGGTCAACTCGCTGGCGACTGGTCCTGTACTGCTGTGCTTCAGCTAAGTAGCAAAGGGAAGCGCATAAGGGGCCACAGATCTATTTCTTTGACTCTCTTCTTGTGCGTGTGATACGGCGCTAGTTTTCTTTCCTGGGGGGGCATGTCCCCTGAGGAGCACAGGCTGGGCCTCTGTCAGCAGATCGGTGGCCCCTAAGGACGGCTGCACCACACTGCCGTGACCGCTGTGTAACCCTTGTCCAGGTCCCTCGCTCAGGACTCTGCGTCCTGCCTCCCACTGACCTTTTGAATCAACCAACGGTAAAGTCTTGACCGTGGTTGTCTGGAGCAGGGCTTGTAACTCCCCGTAAGTGCAAGAAGCTGAAACAAACTTCACATCACGCACCATGATGTCCTCCACAAAGATTGTAAATTTGCTACCGAGGGAGAAAGTACCGTGGGTCAGCCCCACCATGGTCCTCACAGCACCTTCCCCTCCTGCCATGAGGTCTGCCACGGATATGACCACTCGCGGGAACAGGGAACCAAATAGAGTATGGTGCTTCCAGATGTGCCGCCACCCCCGGCCCAACCCAGAGCTTCCCTCGCCCCCCGCCAGCCCTGAGCTCCTCCAGTCGCCGCCCCTGACCTGAGCTGGTTCCAACCCAAGTCTGGCAGGTAGGGCAGCTTCTTGACCTGGATGATGCTGTCATAGAGGGACGGTTGCAGGCTCTGCGCCACCATGTTGGCTAAGATAACAGCCACCATCATGGGCAGGATGTGAGCGATCTGACCCGTCAGTTCGAAGCAGATCACAGCCGTGGAGATGGTGTGGGACACGGCACCCGTCAGCGCGGCTGCCCCTGGAATGAGACACGGGCCACACCGGTGGGCCACGGCGGCCAAGCTTGGGTGAGGACACACGGGGTGGGATGGGGAGGAGGGACGCAGGGAGCCAACACTGCTGAGACGGCAATGGGTCGAAAGCACGGACTAGACACCGAACATCTAGAAAACAGCAGCTTTGATCTCATTCTATGACCTTCAGCAAGTCACAAAATCACGTGTGTGTCAAAATCTTCATTTGTAAAATGAAAACAGGGGTGTCCTCTCCATTCCTCACTTTTGAGAGTTCTGATCACTCTTAACTGAGTACTTTAAAACCCAGCCTGGGCATTTTACCTTGGGCCTCGGGTCCTGACGCCAGCAACGAACGACTAGGTAGTGTGAAACCCTGAGAACTGTGCTGTAGGCATGGAGCACTGAGGCCAGGTCAGGCTCTGAGTCTGTTATTTCTCAACCCTACAAGGAGGGCTGCGTGTCTCTAGAACCCCAGGCTCTCCTCCGCAAGGCCAACGGGATTGATTCAGTGATCTCCAAGGCACTTGTAGATCTAAAATGTTACCATTCCGTAAGTTCTTCCAAGATAGACCCTGTCTTACTTATTCGTGTTTCTCTTTCCTGATTAACTAAAATAGCCCCTCTGACTGGACTAAACCAAAAGCTAAGAAGTTTCCTGAACACAACCAAACAGTTCAAGGATAGAGTAGCACGGGCTGGGGGCTGGGGACCATGGTTTCAGAGGACATCTAGGTCAATTGGCATAACAAAATTTATGAAGAAAATGTTCTGCATCGCACCGCGGTGAGTGGCATCTGGGGTCTTAAAAGCTTGTAAGCGGCCATCTAAGATGCATCAATTGGTCCCAACCTACCTGGAGCAAAGGAGAATGAAGAACACCAAAGACACAAGGAAATAATTAGCCCAAGAGACAAAAGGGCCACATTAATCAGAGACTCTATCAGCCTGATACCAGAAGAACCAGATGGTGCCCGGCTACCACCAGTGACCGCTCTGATACGGAACACAACAGAGACTCCCTGACAGAGCAGGAGAAAAGTATGGAACAGAACTCAAATTCACATAAAAAGATCAGACTTAATGGTCTGAGACTGGAGGAACCCCGGAAGTCATGGCCCCCGGACGCTCTGTTAACCCAGAACTAAAACCATTCCCAAAGACCACTCTTCAGACAAAGATTAGACTGGACTATAAAACATAAAATAATACTTGTGAAAGGTGTGCTTCTTAATTCAAGCAGATACATGAGACCAAATGGGCGGCTCCTGTCCAGAGGCAGGATGGGAAGGCAGGAAGGGACAGGAGCTGGTTGGAGAGGCATGGGAAACCCGGGGTGGGAAAGTGGGGTATGCTGTCACATCACAGGGATTGCAGCTAGTGTCACATGACAATATGTGTATAAAATGTTGTATGAGAGATTAACTTGATCTGTAACATTTCACCTAAAGTGCAATTTAAAAAAAAAAAAAAAGGAAAAGAAATAGCTCGTGTGTATTAGTTACATTTCTTCCTTAAACATGGGTGAGATCGCTATGGGGAAAGACGCTGGGAAGGCATGCATGAAATGGATCAAAGAGGAGTCCCAAAAGGGAGGTACTGGGAGAGACGGCACCCCTGGGCGGTGCGCACAATCTACTTCGGGACTTGAACTATCATAGGAGATGTGTATACCAAGGAAGGTACACGGGGAGGGGTACTGGAAAAGCATGAAGATGAGGAAGAAGAGGAGACGACATGAAAGGGGTTTTGAGGAAGGGGCTGTGCTGGTGGGTAGGGTCTCCATTGAGCTATGAAGCTGGGTAGTGCTTCCATCTTTTAGGGAGGCATGGCCTTAGGCATTATGGAAGGTTGAGAGGGAGGGAGGGAAGAGGGATGATAATTGGGGGGTTATATTGGTCTCTGTGCTAAACGTGGCTCTTGGTGGGATGGGACAATACATTTAAGGAAACAGGGTTATCATAGACTCTCAGAACGTCAGGGTGTAAGGTATCTAAGGAGCCATTTCAGAATAAAGAGATGAAGACCAAGAAGGCAGCTAACTAGCTCCATGGCCATCCCGCTGACCAGTGGCCACCCAGGTGATGAGTCCAGAGCCCTGAGTCCCCATCAATACCAGCTCCTCTGCAGGTCAGGGTGTCTAAGCCAGTCTCCAGCATTGTTGTTTCCATGAGTCTTAGGAAGGACAGAAAAAACCCTCACCAGACACTCAAACCCAATCCTAGTGTTTTCATCCTTATTATTGTATCTGATCCCCATGAGGCTCAAGGAAGTTCAGTAACAGTTAATGAGAGTCACAGCTAAGGGTTAATTATGTGAGTAAAAGTTGAATGAAAACAATACTGTGTGTCCTGGAATGAAGGCATCAAGAGACAGCCTGAGTGTGTGTGGGGGGGGGGCAGTCCTCAAGGTTGGGTTACTGGGCATCTCACCAATGACTGCATAGCCCCCAGGAAGGATCTTGTAGATGATGCCATCAAATAAGATGCCGTCAGGGAACAACATGGCCATCAACTCCCCCACCAGCCTTCCGAAGGCAGCTCCTGGAGGGAGACAGCAGGAGGGAAGATGTCGAGTGAGCCAAGTTCCTCACCATCTACATGTTCAGAGCTAAGCCAAGCCCTCCGTGGGTGCTAAAACCAAACACAAATGCCCAGCATCTCAATCCTTCCCTTATCCTCCCAGGACCCCAGTTTGCAGCTATCACTCAGATCCTAGGCTCCCATCAGAACTTACCCAGCACAAACACAGGCATGAAGCCTCCGCAGGGTATGGGCATGGTGGTGGCCATGATGGACATCCAGAACTGGGGCACAAAGAGGCGTCAGACACCCTCCCAACCCCCTAACACACACACACACACACACACACACACTCTCAATTCCCTCCCACTACCTTCCCCCCTCTCGCTTCCACAGTCACTGAAACTCTGGAACGGCTCCTCCTTCTTGAAGTCAACCTTCCTCCAGAACCTAAAAACATGGCGCTCTCATGCTAAGAGGTCACCAAAGACAACACTGTAAGAAGGTCCTTCCAGACAGCTAGCCCAAGTCCCTTCTGCTTTGAGTGACTGTATTGGCCTCCAGGCAATCTGGAATAGGCGGTAGGGCCCCAGAGGACTCCTGCTCACTGTGCCAGAAAGACCCTAGCCCACTGGGCTTACTTAGCCCAGGAAGCTTCCCAGCAGAGCATCCTGACATGCTCCAAGTGGGGGATAGATACCTTTTCCTGGCCAGTGTTGTTTCTGAAAAGGAGCCCCAAGGAGTGGACACCTTCAAGACTTGGTGACTTAATCTGTGACTATTAGTCATTTACATGGTGTCTTGGATTGAATTATGTCCCCCCAAAAATGTGTGCGTCAACTGGGCTGGGTCATGATTTCCAGTATTGTATGACTGTCTACCATTTTATCACCGATGTGATTTCCCTGTGTGTTGTAAATGCTATCACTATGACGTAATAAGATGGATTAGCAGCAGTTATATTGATGAGGTCTACAAGATTAGATAATGTCTTAAGCCAATCTCTTTTGGGCTATAAAAGAGAGAAGCAAACAGAGAGACATGGGGGCCTCATACCACCAACAAAGCAGTGCCGGGAGCAGGGCGCATCCTTTGGACCTGAGGTTCATGTTCTGAGAAGCTCCCAAAACAAGGGAAGACTGATGACAAGGACCTTCCTCCAGAGCCAACAGAGACAGCCTTCCCCTGGAGCTGACGCTCTGAATTTGGACTTGTAACCTACTAGACTGTGAGAGAATAAATTTCTCTTTGTTAAAGCCATCCACATGTGGCACTTCTGTTACAGCAGCACTAGATGACCAAGACACACGGCTTCCAATATGTGAACCTCGAGGGGGAACCTGGAGTGAAGACTGGCCTGCCTGAGCCATGCCCTTTGCATCCATCACCTTAAACACAGGATCCTAAGTCTGTCCTGGTCACACGGAAGGGGGAACAAGAGTGCAGGCAAGTCAGCGAGTGTGCTAGAAAAGACCTCCAAGTTCAGGTCTGTCAGGGAGTATTCCAGTAGAATGGGGGTACTTTAGTGAAAGCAATATGCATATTCTGTCACAAAGAACACAAAAGAATTGAGAAATAGCATGGAAAAGGAACAGTGGTTGAGCATGTGAAATGTCTGTAAAAGGAATAAAAGTATTGTGTGTGTGTGTACGAGTGAGTATACATGAGTATCTACACACATATATATAAAGTAATAGTTTTATACATCACTTCTAAAGTAAATAAGCAAATCTTAGTGAAGTTGTCTCAAACTAATAAGGAGCAAGATGGTAGCTGCTGAAGGTCAGAACAAAATGCCACGATCAAAGAATTTACAATTTAAAAATTACACCAATTGCATTACAAGCTAATGAGAAAGAAACGGTTTGATTTTCTAAGCCTCAGGAAGACTACCCCCCAAGTCAGTCTGGTGTCAAGGGCAGTGGCTGAGACCCCAGGACTTCCACCTTAGAGGCTCTGAGATCAGCAAACCCCATGCTTCTTCACAGTAGGGGAGGACTATGGAGGACATGAGCCACAAGGTTCATGCCCAAAAGGAGGAGAATGCAGACTGAGAATTCCCTGAGGGCAGACAAGTTTCTTGGTATCTCTGCCTTCTCTCTGCACAGGCACAGTGCTTGATAAAGGTAGGTGGAGGGAGGGAGGGAGGTTAGGTAGGGAGGTAAGTTAGGTAGGTAGGTAGGTTAGGTAGGGAGGTAGGTTAGGTAGGTAAGTTAGGTAGGTAAGTTAGGTAGGTAGGTTAAGTAGGAAGTTAGGGTAGGTAGGTAGGGTAGGTAGGTAAGGTAGGTAGGTAGGTTAGGTAGGAAGTTAGGTAGGGTAGGTAGGTAGGGTAGGTAGATAAGGTAGGTAGGTAGGAAGGAAGGAAGGTTGGCCAACTACTATACGCACAAAGCAGAAAAAGCTTCTCAGAGCTCATGTTTGCTGTACATCCATCGGTGATGCTCATCTTGGGATGGAAGGCTTGTTTAAATGCCAAAGGCTGAACACGTTGGGGGCTGCTGCATTAGTCTGTCTGGAGATGGGTCAGACACTTGTCGCCTAACTGCTTCTTAAGTAATTCTGACATACAGCATGGCTGGAGACCCCTTGAACTGTTAGCACCCCCTCTTTGGAATAATGAATGACATGAACGCCGTAAGGGATTTTGCAGGTTCAAGCTAATCCGAAAGCCCCAGTAAAACAGATCACAGGTGACAGATAGGCCAGATCTCTGAGGGAGGAGCTTCGATTATCCTCCAAGACACAGGTAAAGGGTAAAGCAGTATCAGGATGAGAGGGAATGGAAGTGGCCAACTCCTGTAGCACCAAGAATAAGACATGAGATTAGCAAACTCTTGCAGCTGTTGGCACACAACAGAGAAGATCCAGAAGTAATGTAAACAGCGTAGAACACCAGTGTCTCCCAGGGTCTTAAACACCTGATTCTGGAGAAACCAGGAAATGAGGGGCCCATGATCAGATCACGTGCCACTCTCCTGGGACCAAGGGTGCCAGCACAATCAGGATCAGGAAGAAAGACTTCCCCGGAGCCTCAGGCTGGGCCTAGGAGATAGTGGTAGCAGGTGATAATGCTAGGCTTGGTAAGAGGGAGAATGAGAAGTTGGGATTATATTCATACTCATTGTACAAGGTGTGGATGATACTTTCCCCATCCTGAGACTGAGGAAGACAGAAGTTCCCTGCATCAATATGTAAGAGCCAAAATGAGAATCTCATCTGCCAGAATCTGCCAGAATCAGACCATGGAAACAACTCTACATTTTCGTTTGGTTATCTATCCCACTGCCCGCACTTTGGAACAAATGACACATGGTTATGTGTCCAGTAATGGAACAGTGAGCATGCTGGGGGGCAGTGAGAACAAGGTCACCAGCAGGGATTCGTACAACAAACGGTCTCCTGTTTATAAACATTACAGAATATTATTGGCCTGCTGCAAACTGTTGGGTTTGGAAATACGGCCCTAGAAATGTGAGTTTCTTTTCCTGATACACTTATGATTTAAACATCATCGAGGATGTAACTCATGAGAAATTAGTAACGATGACATACAGTGGCGTCCTTCTACATCATGCAAGACCGTTTCTCAGAATAAAGTTCCATCCATGGAGTGGGATCCAAGTACACATTGGGGAGGAAGGGTGAGATGCAGGGCAATTGTTGAAAAATGTACAGTATTTTGTTTCTCCAAGCTTTTTCAAAAGCTTGACATTTTCAAAGTATATTGATCACAAGTTACCATACAGCTCAGTCCGGAGAGCTGTTAGAAAAACCTGGTTATCAACACTGGACAATAAATTCTGAAATGCCATCAAGACTTGGATTTGGGTTAGTATATTCAAAAGTGATTCTAGGAAGCTGCAATTTATAAACTACAGAAGATGAGCTCTATGATGAAAGTCCAACAATCAAATCCCTAAAAAGATACTGAGAACTCCTTTACAATAAAAATACCAAATCTTTTGAAGGAAGAAAAAAAAATTAAAAGTAGGTGTGCAAAACATGGACGATCTACCAAAAAATCAAACCCGTTGACGTCGAGTCGATTCCAACTCATAGTGACTCTATACAGCAGAGTAGAACTGCCCCATAAGGTTTCCAAGGCTGTAATCTTTACAGAAGCAGGCTGCTACATCTTTCTCCCTCGGAGAGGCTGATGGGTTTGAACCCCTGACCTTTTTCAGTTAGCAGCCAAGCACTTAACCACTGCGCCACCAGGGCCCCTGTGGAAGGCTTAGCCCTGATGAATGCTCCCATACTGGAATGGGGAAGGGCACCAGCAAACAGAGCTCCCGGGAGCCCACAGCACACCCTGAGGCTGGAAGTTACGGAGCTGGAACCTGATGTGTCTGGCCCCTAGGTCTCTGATCAAAAAGTCGTTGTCAAGTACGGGAAACGAACAGCAAAAAACACAGAAGGAAATTCTGAAATGATTTTCAGTGACAAGCAGAAGTTCCAAAGATCAACAGTCAAGTATTGTGAGATTATTTGGCCCATAGCTGGTGCTCAGAAACATTTGTTGAGTAAATGAATAAATGAAACTACCGTGAGATTTGCAGTATAAATACAAATGACTGACTCATATCCTGGGAAGGTGTAGGTTCATAAAAAAGTATCAAAGTAAGCTGGCATCAAGGTATTCAGAAGCATGAAAGCTCCGTGTGGACAGGCTTTTAAATGAGAGCCCTAATATTCAGAGGAAAATGGTGGATAATTTAGACAAGGCATACTATTAGTCAAAAGGCAACCAGCAAAAAAAAAAAAAAAAGACATTCAGCAATTGTCACAGATGTCACCACCAGGAGTGGAAATAGAAATATCATTGTATAAGGCAGTAATTGAGAAGTCTATAAATATATGATCCTTGATGCAGATATGAAGAAGAACTGATGTAAAAGAGACTAGCTTTTGTTCCCTAATGGAAGCGAAGAGAAAATGGTTTGGAACGGCATAAACCTCACAGACTCCATACCTGAATAGAGAACAATAACGTTAATAAAAACTATTTGTAGTCACTAATGACATAGATTTAAATATTTCATCTGATTTGTAATTCTGCAGAGCAATTACCTACAAGACTGGGTAATGGACGCGCAAGTCACCTCAAAGTGGATAATCAGATACGTGGAGAATGAGCTACCTAATTATCTAATCTGTGTGGGAGGTGAATTATGAGGTTTTCATACAGTTATCTGTATTGCTAAACTGTCTTGTCCTTGTTTACTTGGCTGCTGTGATGCCTTGTAATTGAACAAGTGGAACCATTAGCAGGGTTGTCATAATTATGACAAATGTCACTGAGCTGACATGAATGGAGTGATTAGCCCAGATACTGGGTCCCATCTCCAGGCAACTCATGCTATGGTTCCCAAACTATCTCTGTTTGAGTTGGATGGAGGCCAGAGGACATTAAGCTCTTTCCTTCTCCATGTGAACCCTGGGCCGCTGGGTTGGAAGCGGATGGAGGTCTGAGGTCAGTGGCAATGGGTGCACCTTCATGACGAAGAAGAGGAGGATGATGATGACCACGTTGACCTTGGGGTGGATCCACACGGCCGACAGGCCCAGGCTCCCAGGATCCCCAGTGTGCTTGACCCACGTATTGTTGTCAAACAGGGTACTGATGGCTTCCCGAGGCATCAGCTGGAAAGGAAGAGCGAGGGGGTTCTCCAGAGACACAGTGACCCCCGGCCTCCTTACTCCATCTCTCTCTGCCCTCGGGCAAAACCACGTGCCCTGGAAGCCTGCGGGACGGCTGTCCTGTCTCCTCTCTCCCAATGGCCCAAGTCCTGGCTTAGTGACCACTGCTCACTGGCCTGACCCCTCGCCCCGACTCCCTGCAAGCTGACCTCTCCAGCCATGAACTGGCCAATGCCTGGGGGAAACGTGGACGAGGCGATGGCAAGGGTGACGATCCCAGGGTACAGCAGGCGGCTGGAAAAGAGACGGAGTTGACCCTCCTCCATTTAGCCAACCACGCGGATACCACTCCGAGCCTCCCCCCGGCATGAGGTGGACGCACAGGGCGCTTCCTCCAGTCTCCTAAGCCCGGGGTCTTTACACAAAGAACATTCTGTTCACAAAAAACTCACCCGAAAGGAGCACCACGCCCATCCCTTACACTCAGTGTGGGGCCTCCTCCTGCTCGCATGTCCACCCTAGAGGCATGGAGGGCCCTCCTCACAGGTAAAGGGGAACCCCTGGAGAAAGCCGTAGTTGGGGGCAGGGGGAGGGCAGGACTCACTGCTTGGCCAGAAACTGGCTCAGGATCTTGTTCTTGCGGACCCCCAGCATGACCTGGCGGTGCAGGTACACGAACATGGCTCCCAGGAACCCGCAGCAGATCCTAGGGGCAAGGCGCAGCGTAGAGCCTGGTTCCAGACAGGGGCCCCTCCCACCTGGCCACTGTGGGCAAACAAATGCTGGCAGACACCTGAGCTTCTCCCACCTGCCCTGTCCCCCACCTGCCCTGTCCCCACCTGCCCTGTCCCCCACCTGCCCTGTCCCTACCTGCCCTGTCCCCCATCTGCCCGCCATTCACACTTGTCGCCTCCCCAGCAGCAACCACACACCCGATGACAGCAAAGGCCGGGAGCTCCTGCAGGTCGAAGGGGAAGTCCATGCGGAAGTTGGTTCTGAAGAGCGCGGTGATGGTGACTACGGAAGGGGAGGGCGAGGAGGGAGCGTCAGAGCCCAGATGGAGCCGGAGGTCAGGCTGAAGGGGCACCCTTCCCGCAGCCCAGCCTCTCCCTCCCATCTGATGCCCTTCTGGGCACACACCCCTCCCGCAGCCCAGCCTCTCCCTCCTGTCTGATGCCCTTCTTCTGGAGGCACACCCCTCCTGCAGTCCAGCCTCTCCCTCCCATCTGATCCCCTTCTTCTGGGGGCAAACCCCTCCTCCAGCCCAGCCTCTCCCTCCCGTCTGATCCCCTTCTGGGCGCACACCCCTCCTCCAGCCCAGCCTCTCCCTCCCATCTGATCCCCTTCTTCTGGGGGCAAACCCCTCCTCCAGCCCAGCCTCTCCCTCCTGTCTGATGCCCTTCTTCTGGAGGCACACCCCTCCTGCAGCCCAGCCTCTCCCTCCCATCTGATCCCCTTCTGGGCACACACCCCTCCTCTCCATCAGCTGCATCCTGGTTTAGGCCCCTCCCTCGGTTTCTTGGGCCTCGGTGCCACCTCCCAAACAATGCCACCTGCCCCTTTTCTGAAGGGACCCCCAGAGCTGCACTGCACACCCCATTACCAGCGTCCCTGTCCCACAGAACACCCCCGCAGACGGCCGTCCCTCCCTTACTAGCGTCTTTGTTCCACACAGCCAGCACACGGAAGACAAAGGCGCTGAAGGTGGCCGCGAAGAACCCTCGCCAGTAGTTCCGCACGGCAAAGTAGGTGGAGGTGACCTCGATGCTGAACAGCACCCCTGGGGACAGGGAAGGGGTCAGCGCAGGCCAGAGAGGGCTCCTGCCAGGGCCCATCCCGCCCGGTCCCGCCCGGAGCAGCTGCTGAAACTTGAACCGGGAGACGCTGGGGAAACCAGCACTCTGGAATCCCACTCTGAACCACGAGCAGGGTCATGCTCGTGTGGTTTGCAGGCAGAGGTGTGGTCCGACAAGACACAGAGAGGATGGAAACGGGGACCCTCCACCCCAAAACGTGAGGCTCAGCTGGCGGTGTCCGTGCATCCCTTAGGACGTAGGCTTGGGTGGGGTTTGAAAGTAGTGGGGACCACTCTGCAGAAAAATTCCGTGTGAAAAGCTTCCAAGCAGGTGCTCTGAGCCACCAGCAGGGCTCAGGGGTGCCGGACGCCCCTCAGCACCCTCCCGGGCCCCTTGCTGCCACCAGACACCACGTGCCCTGGGCAGCACTAACAACAGACAGGAACAACGGGTGCAGGGGCTTCAGGCGAGGTAACAGCACTCGGTGTTCAAGAAAAGAAAGCAGAGGATTCAGCCAAATGAAAAATAAACACTGACAGAGAAATCTGACGTGAAAGGAGCACACGGAGAGAGTGAAGGGAAGTGAAGACAGCCACACCGAGGGAAGGTGGGTGAGGACCAAGGGAAGCCAGCTCTACCGCTTCTGAGAGGAGACAAAAGGCAGGAGGCGGATGGGAGAGAAACAGCGGGGCTGGGATAAAGCAAGGAACGCAGCGAGGGCGCAAACGTAGCTCCAGCAGGCACAGAGAAAACCGCTATAAACATGCCAAGACCAAGGGCGTCGACTTCGATCAAAGGCAAAGTAAAAATGGATGACAAAATGGCCTCAGATGGGCTGAGCCTCATCTTCCCACAAACAAGAAAGAGGCCTGGCCCAGGGACAGCAGTGAGCTAGGCCGGGGCGTCTCCAGCGGTCATCTCGCCCCATGGTGACCGGGTGCTGCCAAGGATCTCTGCCGCCTCCTCCACTTTCTTCCCCTGCTCTAGACCTGGAGTCCCTGGTGGTGCAAACAGCTTGCTTGGCTGCTAACTAAAAGGTTGGAGGTTAGAGTCCACCTAGAGGCGCCTTGGAAGAAAGGCCTGGTGATCTGCTTCCAAAAAAAGCAGTCATTGAAAACCCCATGGAGCACTGTTCTACCCTGACACGCATGGGGTTGCCATGAGTCACAGTCAACTCCACGGCAACTGGTTTTCTTTTTTTTGCTCTATACTCAAACCCCACATGGCTCAACTCCCTCGGACCTCGACGTCTCCTCCACAGGCTGCAGACAACAGCTCACAGGGAGCCCTTCGTGCCGGGGGTGGGGCACAGAGGCTACTCCGATCGTTGAAAGGATTCCGAGGGGTCAACTCCAAGGTCAGCTTCTCCAGGGAGCCAGCCCGACCCTCCTCGGGTGGGAAGAACGCTCCCTTCCTGATCTGTGCTCTCTGAGGATTTGGGACGATTCGAGCCCTTCTCACTTGCAGAGGCGTTATCTGTCTACACTTCTGAACTCTCCAGAGGACTGGAGGGCAGTGCTGGCTCGGTGGTAGGATTATCGCCTTCCATATAGGAGACCCGGGTTCGACTCCCGGCCAGTGTTCCACGTGTGCAGCCACCACCTGTCAGCCGATACTTGCACGCTGCTATGATGCTGAACAGGTTGCAGGGAGCTTTCAGACTAAGATAGACTAGGAAGAAAGGCCTGGTGATCTACTTCTGAAAATCAGCCAGTGAATGCCTGATAGATCACAATGGTCCGATCCACACCAACCACGGGGATGGTGCAGGACCGGGCAGCATTTGGTTCCTTTGTCATGGGGTTGCCATGAGTCGGGGTGACCCGACAACAGCTAACAACAGCCGGAGGATTGAAAGGTCCTCGTCAACAACACCCAGTGCAGAGCCTGGCACCCCCCAGGGCCCCACCCCTGTCCTTCGGATGCGGGAAGAGGAGAGGACGGGCGAAGAGGGAAAGAGGACAGGAGAGAAGAGACGGGGTGGAATTTCAGACACGGAGCCCGTGCACGGGTGACCTGCCTGCCCCCAGATCTCGCCCTGTGAGGCCGTGCCGGCCTTGCCTGAGGAGGGTGGCCACAGGGGACAGGCGAGCCGTCCCTCCTCCTCATCCCCCGTCAGAGCTGACGGACACATGCTCACAGCAAGCTTTGAAAATCCAGGCTAGGCTTTCTTTCCCACGACACGCTTGGGGACACTTTCCCAGCAGTCCGTCACTGTGGACTTGGGAATGAGGACGGGTTTCAGTGTTAACAGAGCCAGACAGAACATGGGCAGCTAGCAGAAGTAAGCCTTCCAACACACACAGCACCGGGAGCCTCTGTCTCTAAGGCTCGGAAGCTCTGCCGTCCCAGCCACTCCGGTGTCCTCCAGCACTGCGCCGCGGCTCCTCTGCCGGCCCCCTCTGTCCTCGTCCCTACTCTTGCTCCTCATAGAAACCTTCTCTCTGCCACTTTCATCTGGGCCCAGGGCTTCATTTCCAACCAGGCCCATTTCCCAGCCACCTGCGTGGCATCACCTGGCTACACGGCGGGAAGCTGGAACCCAGTGGATACAGAGTGAACCCTCCCCTGGCCTGCTTCTCTTCTTGCCGTCCCTGTTCCGGTTACTAACACCCCTGCCCACTCCATGCCCTTGTTAGACCGGGGGGTTAGGCGAAACCCCTCCTCTCCCTCACCCCTCACGCCCGACCCCGTTCACGCAGATTGGACTCTGCAGCTCGTACTCTGCCCTCTGCCCCAGTTCCAGCTCCCACCATCCATCGAGCCGGTGACAATAATCTTGTCAAGTCTCAGTCCTTCCAACCCCTCGCCCAGGCTGTTTTCTCCTGCACACAGCTGGGCAAAAGACTGGGCAAAGATGCAAGCTGGTCATGCCGCCTCCTTGCTCAGACGCCCCCCCACGGCTCCCTTCCCTAGGGCTGCATTCCGCAAGCCAGGCTCACGGTCCTCCCGCCCCAGGAGACGGTCTTGGCTGGGGGCTCTGTAGGAAACCAGTGCCAGGCCTCCTTGCGTTAGCGTATTAAATGCTCTAATACATCGACCGTTTCAAAAACACCTATAGAAGCCCGCATTTCCCAACTTATTTCACCTCAAAACTCTTTCTACCTGTGACATCTATTAACGTCACAAAGGAACTGTGTTCTTGGAGACACATTTTGGCAAATGCTGGCCCCAAGACGAAAATCTGCCTTCTTGGACGTGGCCCAAGAGGCCATTGGTGACCTGGCCCTACTTCCTGTCCAGAGTCACTTCCTGGGGCTCGTGCGCTGTGCCGCGTAACGGTATTCATCTCGCGCGGTTAGCATGGTGGTCGGTGTCTGCCCCCCAGGCGGCTCCGGCTCACGGTGACCCACGCACAACGGAGCGAAAGGTGCCAGTCCTGCGCCGTCTTCATGATCGTAGGTGTGCTCGGGTCCCTTGTTGCAGCCACTGTGTATTCTGAGCGCCTTCCAACCTAGGGGGCTCATCTTCCAGCGCTCTGTCAGACAATGTTCTTTGTGCTCCATAAGGTTATAATTGGCTTATTCTCAGAAGTAGATCGCCAGGCCTTTCTTCCTAGTCTGTCTTAGTCTGCAAGCTCTGCTGAAACCTGTCCACCATGGTGACCCTGCTGGTATTTGAAATACTGGTGGCACAGCTTCCAGGGTCACAGCAACACACAAGCCGCCATAGTACGACAGACTGACAGACGGGCAGTGGATTTGTAATTACAGCTTCCCAAATCTGACTGTGCAGAACGCTCTGCCCTCGCTGTCTTCTTTGTGAATTCCTATCATTTAAGTGTCAGACCAAACATCACCTCTCCTGTGAATCTTTGCCAACAACCCAAAGGCCTACAAGGGGGTTTCACTGCCCACTTCTCAGGCTGCATGAAGACACTGATTTGAGTGGGCTGTGATGGCCGGTCTGCTTGCCTGTCTACCCTCCACCGTGGGCAGCTTGAGAGCTGGGACCCAGCACAGAGCCGGCAGGGAGCCGGCATGGAGCCAGCATGGAGCAGAAGCAAGGAGTATTTGTTGTTGTGTTGAACGCGGAAATATCTTTCATTTACCGGTGTAAAGAATGAAGGGTTGACGATATAGTGGACACGTTCTCTTATCACTAACTTTCCTTTCAGAATTCGTCTGTGTTCACAGAAAAAGCAAGCAAGGTGTACCATCCGCAGCAACATTCGTTGTTTGCCACTTAAACAGGCTGAACGCGGCGTCTTAACAACTTTCCCTGCTCAACAATTTCTCGTGTCAAGAGCAATGTCTTACGGGAACCTTGATAACAAGATGCTAAATGAAGCAGGTCAGGCACACGAGACAGACCTACGACCCTGCTTCGGTGAAATAGCCACAACAGGAAAACGCAGAGAGACGGAAAGCACATCAGCGGTTCCAGGGGCTGGGGGGTGGGGGTGGTAAGTGGGGAGTTATTGCTGAAGGGGTTCTTAATTTCTGTTTAGAGAGTGAAATAGTTTGGGAAACAGCGTTGATGGCTGCACAGCATTGTGCATATAATTAATGTCACTGAATTGTACACTTAAAAATGGTTAAAATGGCCAAAAAAAAAAAAAAAAGAGTAATGCCTGTGACTTTCTATGTCTTTCTCTCTCCCCCACTCCCCCACTCTGCACAGGGCAGAGCACATCTTCCTTGTTCACCCCAGACATCCCAGTTTTATGCAAAAAATGAAAAGTTCTCTTCCCTTTAAAGGATCCTGGCTGATTAAAGACAATTTTCTCCATCTAAAAATACTCCTTAGACTTTGTGGATATGCAAGGCCGAAGAGACAATAAAGGCCAACAGTGGGTATAGATGGAGGTGTGAGTGTTTAACAAGCAGAAATGCAAACACAAGCCTCCCCTCGTAGGGACTGAGGACAGTGAGAGCCTGAGCTGCCCACTTGCTGACTGACCAGTGTCCCCGAGCCGGCATGCAGGGCCCCAGTGGCAGCCCGGTCGGCTGGACGCGCTCTCGGCAACCTTGGCTCTCCTCTGATATCACCTGGGTGGCCTTGCAGACTCCTCCACGAGAGGGCCAATGACATTTTCACAGTGGAGAGGACATCTCCAACAGCTGGTGCTCTTCAGAAGCAGACGCCCTTCCTCTCTGCTCTTGTTTCTTCCATTGTCAGCGTGGAAGCCCTCCTCGGCTAATCTGCTGGTCACTGACTTGACGAGTCAATATCAGACACGCCGGCTTCCCCTCCTCTGGGCGTGCCCACCTACTGGCCATCCGTGAGGAGGTAAAGGACGTGGAAGATTGCTGCTGACCTCACACCTGCGACCAGCTGCTGAGGAGCTGCCCCTCGACTCTGGAGACCTCGCCTGTGTCAGAACAGAACTGTGCTCCACAGGGCTGTCGGTGGCTGAAGTTTTTGGAAGCAGATTGCCAGGATTTTCTTCCGCGGCACCTCTGGGTAGACTCAAACCTCTAACCTTTAGTTAGCAGCCAAGCGCACTCACTGTTTGCACCCCCCAGGGTCTCCTTACACCTGTAAAAGAGCTAACTTCATCCTAAATTCCTTACAAATATCAAGGACCAATGATCTCTACCATCACCAGTTCTCATTTAAAGCTCACCATTAAGGCAGGTGAGTTCACCTAAACTTCTTTTTTCTCACTCTGGACCTCTTAAGCAAGGAACTCCACCTAAATGCTTATGTCTTTACTAAAACACCACGAAGTGTAAGTGCCCCCTTGGAGAAGGAAGTGAAGAGTCTCCTTGTGGGGAGGTTTAGCAACTGCAGGGCAAAAACGGCCAACATTACCCCTAGGTTTTGGTATACGCAGGGGCCATAGGGAGCCATAGGGACGCTTGGGTTTCAATCCCTGTCTCTGCGACCCAGCAGACAAATGCTCGAGTCAGGTACCCAGGCTGCACTTGGGCCTCCTCTCTCACCTGGAGTACCAGTCAGACAGCTCCCAGAAGGACTACGTGCAAAGTGCCTAGAACACGGTGAGCACGCAGTCAACCCTCCCTAGAAGTCAGCCTTCTCATTGTCTTCAGCGCATTGGTGCTCCTCAAACCTGGGGGCCGGACAGACACTGCCTTGGGGGCCAGGTTGGATGCATGGACTGGTTTGGGAGGGGTAAGTCACTTGCCTCCAAGCGGGGTCCCAAAACAACAGCCGACTCCTACCGCACAGCCGACCGTCAGGATGTCTGTGTAATAGTACGGCTGCTACTGGGGGAGAGACAGAGAGAGACAGAGGGGAGGGGAAGGCAGGGCAGGAGGGGGCAGCAGGAAGGGGAGAGGAGAGGGGGAGCAGGGAGGGGAGAGGAGAGGAGAGGGGCAGCAGGGAGGGGAGAGGAGAGGAGAGGGGCAACAGGGAGGGATAGGCAGGATGAGAGCCCAAATCCAGTTAGCCAGGGTGGTCCTCGTGCCCCGTGGCCCCAGAGCTGTCCAGCCCCAAGGCCAAGAGAAACAGTGATTTTAGCAAACAGGAAGTGACCTCATAGCGCAAGACCAAATAGGAAATGAAATACAAGTCAGCAAGTGTATGGCTGGCAGGGAAGCCAGTAAGTGACAACCAGAGAGACGGAAAGGGGCCATCCAGGCAGGAGCCAGCTTCAGCCAGCTCCATGGAGCCCGTGTGAAGAGGGCCTGTCTCCGAGGGCACGCAGGCCTAGAGCCCGGCCTGGGGACCAGGCTGCATCCATGGCCCCTCACTAAGCCCCTCCATCCTGCTCAGGCCCCAGGGTCAGGAGGAAGGGAGACTTGCCTCCAAGCGGAGCCGCAAAGCAGCATCCCACGCCCACTGCACAGGCCGACACGAGCAGGTCAAGCTGGCTGGGCACGGTCTGCAACAGAGGGCGGCCGGGGGTGGGCGGGGGCACAGCACAGAGGGAGGGTCAGGCACCACGGGATGGAGAGGCACGGGGCGGGAGGCAGGGGCACCACCGACAAGGCACAAACGGGTATTGGGTGGGGAGGACACGAGGGGCGGGGCCTCTAGAAGGGAGGGCACTGTGGGCACAGCTCAGTGAACAGAGGTGGGTGCGCGGCGCCCCGGGGATGCCCGCAGTGCCTGCCTCAGCATCACGGCCAGCCCAGCCAAGGCAGCCCCCGTGCACACGCGGCCCCACTCGTTCTCCTGGCTCAGCCTTACCTCGTACACCCCGCAGAACACGGACAGGAACTTGCTGAGGACAGCGGCACAGATGCTGGCAATGTGCACGAAGGGGCCCTGGAGGGAGGGGCCGGGGCTCAGCATGGAGACCAGGCGGTGCTCACCACCACCAGGCACTCAGACGCCCTCAGCCAGGCCCTGGAGAGGGGGGCCGGGGCTCAGCATGGAGACCAGGCGGTGCTCACCACCACCAGGCACTCAGACGCCCTCAGCCAGGCCCTGGAGAGGGGGGCCGGGGCTCAGCATGGAGACCAGGCGGTGCTCACCACCACCAGGCACTCAGACGCCCTCAGCCAGGCCCTGAGAGGGGGGCCGGGGCTCAGCATGGATACCAGGTGGTGCTCGCCCCCACCAGGCACTCCAGCCAGGCCCTGGAGAGACAGAGGGGGACAAGTCTGTTCTGTGCTCTCAGGGAACCTCATCCCCAGAGGAAGGGAGATGCGTATCAGAGTGTGGGCCTATCAGAGAACACTGAGGGCTGAGAGGGAAATGAAGGGGAGTAAGGGTCACTGAGAGACCGGTGAGGGCAGGGTGGGGTGTGTTTGGGGTGCACTTGGAGAAGGTGTCCGGGAAGGCCTCCCTGAACAGCTGTTAGGGGTTGAACTGTGCCCCCTAAAAAGATGTGCTGAAGTCCTAATCCCTGCACCTGTGAACATGACCCTATTTGGAAACAGGATCTTGGAAGATGTTATCAGTCAGATTAACATGAGGTCATACTGGGGTAGAGTGGGCTCTAATCTCTGTGACTCGTGTCCTTGTAAAAGAGGAGGAGAGACACAGAGACAGGCAGACAGAGGAAGGACGCCGTGTGGCACTGCAGCTACAAGTCAAGGAACACCTAGGGCCACCAGGCGCTGGGAGAGGCCTGGGACAGTCCCCCTCCGAGCCTCAGCAGGAATCCACACAGCCGACTCCCCGTCTCCAGAACTATGAGAGGAGAAATTTCTGTTCCTCCGAGCCCCGCAGTGAGTGGCACTTTGTTTTGGCCGCCCCAGGACACTAAGACAGCAGGTTACAAAGGGGCAGCGCCTGCAAGGGGCAGAGAGAGTGAGCGGCAGGAGTATGCGGAGGGAGAGGCCTGAGACAGAGGACAGGACGGGGAGGGCCCACGGGCGGGGCCGAAGCCAGCAGGGGGCGGGAGCCAGGTCCCAGGGCTCCAGGGCCGGGAGAGTCAGATAGGATTTCACCTGAAGTAGAAGGGGCCATCAGGCCTTCCCGAGCAGTCTGCAAGGCGGCTTTGGCGGCTGTGTGGAGGGCGACAGGGGGCCAGAGGGGGCACGGACACGGAACCAAAGCATCTTCTGGGGGCTCAGTTATCTCTTCTTGGGGCAGGGACTGGGCTGGGTCACTGGGCACTTCCCCCTAGGGCCACTGGCGGGAGCCATTCCGGCTGTCACAAGTGGGGGGCTGCTACTGCCACCTAGTGGGCGGAGGCTGGGAGTGCAGCTGACCAAAGGGCAGTACCCAGGACGCCCCACCTCAGAGAAAGATCCCACGTGCAGTGTGTCATTGGGCCCAGGCAAGTGCTCGGACATTCTGCCACCCCACCCAGAACCAGGGCCTGCCTACCTGCCCACTCCACATCACCTGGCTTTGGTCCCTGTCCCCACGGGCCCTCCTCGGCGGGCCGCCTGCCCAGCCCTCCCCCCGGTGAGCACCCACCTCTTTGCCCACGGGGATGCCGCTGCCCAGCCCAGCGGTCAGCGCCACCACCTTGGCCACAAAGGCCTTGACGGTCAGGTACTCCTTCAGGACGACCCCGCGGAGAATGGTCTTCATCTCAGGAATCCCAGAGCCTGGACAGGCCAGAGCCGGTCACGGCAGGCTGAGGTGGCGGCTGGCGGGACCCGGGGCTCGGAGTGGGGGGTGACGGGGGGCGAGTGGGTGCGGGGCCGTGTGCTGGTGGCTGACGGGCAGGCTCAGGGCGGGGGTTCTCACCAACGGCCTGGGGGGAGATGAGGTGGCAGAAGATAGCACTGAAGAGGATGAGGACCAGCGGGAAGGTGACCCAGGCCAGGAACTGCAGGGGGAGGCTGGGCTGCATCTGGTAGTAGGTCCACTTGTAGGCTGCAGACACGGGCCGGGTGAGCGGGGGACAGGAGACCCGCCTGCCCACACGTCCACCCACCCACAGCACACCCAGTGTGCATGGAGCCTTCTTGTGCCCTGGCTGGCCTGTTTGACCCCACGAGACGGGAACTTCACATTGTATTCCTGGGCGCCTGAGCTGTGGAGGTGAGGAAGGAGTTCACGCTCCAACCGTGGGGTGGGCGGGCACGCTGCAATCCCACCTGAATGCAGTGATGTGAGCTTGTCCTCAGAACCCCTGGGGATCAACAACCTGGCTCCCAGGACTTGAGGGGTCAGTGGGACCCAACTTCCAGTGCGGAAATCAGGGGCAGGACCAGTGGCTGCCGAGTGGACCCCGACTCATGGTGACCCCATGTGTGTCAGAGTAGAACTGGGCTCCCTAGGGTTTTTACAGACTGCCAAAAAACAAGCAAATCTGTCTTGGAAGAAGTACAACCAGACTGCTCCTTAGAAGCAAGGATGGCGAGGATTCGTCTCACATACTTTGGACATGTTATCAGAAGGGACCAGACCCTGGAGAAGGACATCATGCTTAGTAAAGTAGAGGATCAGCGATAAAAAGGAAGACCCTCAACGAGATGGATTGACACAGTGGCTGCAACAATGGGCTCAAACACAGCAACGATTGTGAGGATGGCGCAGGACTGGGCAGTGTTTCGTTCTGTTGTACACGGGGTCACTATGAGTCAGAACTGACCTGACGGCACCTAACAACAATGAGGGTTTTCAATGGCCGATTTTTCACAAGTAGATCGACAGGCCTTTCTTCAGAGGCACCTCTGGGTGTACTTGAACCTCTAACCTTTTGGTTAGCAGCCAAGCACATGAACTGTTTGCACTTCCCAGGGATTCCCAAAACAGGGGAGTCCTGGCCAAACCGGGCCGAGCTGGTTACTGCGAGGGGCCCACAGCCTGGGGGGTGGCATTGAAAGGGGCATGAGAAATGGCTCTGGTCTTGTCTGTGGCCTGGAGTCCCCCCACCAAGCCCACTCAGCTTAGCCCCAGGTAGAAACTCTAGAAACAGCCCCAGTTGGGGAGAGGCCGAGGTGAGGGCCGGGCCAGACTCACCCTGCAGGCTCTTGGCACTGACGTAGTCCATGCTCCAGCTGACCAGAGCCATGAACAGGCCCAGCAGCACCAGGAAGATCCAGTCTTCCCCCAGCTTCCTCCTCACAAGGCCGCCCAGGCAGCGGAAACAATCTAGGGAGAGAAGTGGGGAGGAGAGCAGCAAGCCGGTGACCACGAGGCCGGAAGGGGAGCTGCAAGGCCGGGAGGGCAGAGCCTGGCCCACAGGGTCTCGTCTGGAACCCATTCACGGCAATTCTCTTCACCTCTCTGTCCACAGCCATCCCTGCCCCAGCCGAAGGTCCTGCCACCCAATTCTCTTTACTGGAACTCCTTCCTACAGCACTGGTTTCTGGGGAGGGTGGAGACGCAGATGCTAAGGAACAAGGCAGCATGAGGAGGTGGGGGGTGCCTGCTCCCACTACTTGGAGGAGCTTGTTGCGGGTGCAGTGGGACCCCGAGTTACCCTCCTGGCCCCACGCCCCCTCCACCCTGGAGCCCTCTCTCAGCCTCACTCTGGTACTTGGAGTAGTGGTCCTCGTCCTTGCTGTCCACGGTGGTGCTGGAGCCCGTCCACTGAGGCCTCCCCTCACCCAGCTCCTTCTCTGAGAACCGTCCTTTGTGGTGGTGGGAGATCTGGGCAGAGAAACAATGGACATGCCTGTGTCTCGCTGAAAAGAAGAGCCAGCAGGTGGGGGGGCACGTGGACTCAGAGAAGTGAGAGCACCTGTGAATTCCTGGCTCTGAGGGCTGGCACGTGGTCATTGTGGTCATCGCTTTCCTCAGCCCCCTCTGCTTGTCTGTGTCCCCACCCCGCCCACCACTGCCCAGCCTCTCCGTCCGTCCCCCACTGCACTGGTTCTGGTCTGCGGGCACCTTTGTCCCTGCGGCGTTTCCCTGAGGCAGTGGTCCAAGGACGGCTAAGACAGAGTCACCACAGCAGTCCGAGCCTGTGTCCCCGTCACCGAGTGTCCCCCGGGTTCTGGCGTGGAGGTGAGGACGGGCTGGCCCAGCCAGCGTTGACCCCGGCTTGTCCCTGGGTGTGTCTGCACAGACAGGACAGCCTCATGGGCAGTCCACCACTCGTCCCCTGACTTGAACCCATCCTGGCTGCATCCATCCAACCATGACGGCGGTGGCTCAGGGAGGCCTGGGGAGGCTGATTTCACGACCCCAGTGCGGCTTAGCCTTGGCTGGGCCACGCTGCTCGTCTCCTGGGTTGAGGCTGGTGACGGAGGGAAGGTGCTCTCCCTCCACACCCCCAGTGGCCCAGCACACGCCCTCCATGGGTTTCATCCCTTAGGCCAGGCCGGTGGGGACGAGGAGGGGTTGTGTCCCGTTACACCCTGGATGGGAGGAACCCTGAAGAGTGGAGGCTGGGGGGCTGGCTTGGGGCTGAATGCCCCCCAGCAGGGCTGGGGGAGGCGAGTCTGGGGATGGGCGCTGTCAGGGATTGAGGGGTGCCGACAAGAGACGTGGCCGATGCTGACCACTCCTGACCGCTGTTGAGGCTGGCAATGGTACCCAGGAGTTCTACACCACTCTCTCTTCTTCTCTTTAAGTCTGAAAACCCCCATAAAAACTGAACCCCAGATTCCTTGGTTTTCAAGACCCTTGGGGACCAGTGCTACCTATCCCCAAACGAACTCCCCTCCCCAAGCCCTGTGCTTCCCTGTCCCGGAAGGTGCCACACTGCACTTTACCCGAGTTGTTGTCCCGCCTGGTGTGACATCGGATGGAGAGGAGCCCCAGGGCCGCCCCTCCAGAAAAGGCCTCTCCGACCAGCCCCACTCGGTGTTCAGAGGCCCCATCCCCCCATCCAGCCAACACTGGCTCATGTCCCCTCCCCAACGGTGACTGCTCTTGGGGACTTTGCACAGCAGTGTTGGGACGGGCCGCCCAGCCCCCGGCTCCCAGACCTCTCCTGTTGTGGCTGTTAGCTGCCTTGCAGTGGGCCCCACTCAGGGCGACCCCGTGCCCAGCAGAACCTGCCCCATCCTCATGGTCGGTTGTGGATTGGACCATTGTGATCCACAGGGTGTTCACTGGCTGATTTTCAGAAGTAGATGGCCAGGCCTTTCTTCCAAGTCTGTCTTGGTCGGGAAGCTCTGCTAAAACTGTTCAGCCTCCTAGCAACACATAAGCCTCTACTGACAGACAGGTGGTGTCTGCACATGAGGTGCATTGGCCAGGAATCAAACCTGGGTCTCCCGCAGGGAAGGTGAGGAGTCTACCCCTGGACCACCACTGCCCACAGCCCGTTCCGAGATCCCCGAACCAAGAGGAGTCTTGAGCGCCCCTGAGCTGACACGCTGCCAGACACTGGTGCCCGGTCCTCTGTGCGGCGAGGGCACGTTCGTTGACTGACCACAACCCATCTGCTGCTCCACAATTTCACTCCTGCCCTGGTGGAGCCCATCCCCACCCCGGCCTGGGTGTCTGCAGCTGCCACCCCAAGCCCCGGAGGATGGCTGTCCCTACCACCCCCGTCAGGTTTCTGGCCCCCCAGGTGCCTAACACCTGGTCAACCTTCCCACCTGGACATTTGGTTACATCTGTCCTGCTCTTGTAACATGGGTGTCTCTCTGGTCCCTGAGCTGCAGCCAGTCTGTTGCACAGAGTGTGCGTGTGTGTGTGTGTGCGTGCATGTGTGCGGCTAAGGGTGGGCTGAGCCATCTGGAGGGATCTGCCTGTGGGGGTGTGGATGCGTGTCTGCACAGGTGTGAGTGCCACGCCAGCCTCTGCATGCTGTTACGACATAAGCCAGCGGGCCAGCCTTTGGGCACTGGGCCACCAGGCTTCAGGCAAAGGCACAGAGGGGGCGCCCACACCTCTGCATATCAGGGGGGCACCTCACACCTCTACACGTTGGGGGGACCCCACATCTCTGGGTGTCAGGGTGGACCCCACACCTTTGCGAGTTAGGGGGGCATCCCACACCTCTGTGAGTTGGGGGGGACCCTGCACCTCTGCGAGTTGGGGGGTACCCCATGCCTTTGCACATGAGGTGGGTACCTCACACCTCTGCACATCAGGGGCACACAGCATCTCTGTGAGTTAAGGGGAACCCCATACCTCTGCGAGTTAGGGGGGACCCCATACCTCTAGGGGGGCACCCCACACCTCTGCACATCAGGGGGACCACACATCTCCGCACATCAGGGAGGACACCACACCTCTGCAAGTTAGGGGGGCACCCCACCCCTCTGAGAGTTGGGGGGTACCCCATGCCTTTGCACATGAGGTGGGCACCTCACACCTCTGCACATCAGGGGCACACAGCATCTCTGTGAGTTAAGGGGAACCCCACACCTCTGCGCGTTAGGGGGGACCTCGCACCTCTGCATGTTAGGGGTGCACCTTGCACATCTACGTGTTGGGGGGCACCCTGCACTTCTGTATATTAAGGGGGCACACAGCGGGCAAGCGGGGGCGGGAAGGGGCATGGCACAGAGATGGGGAGAGTCAGGGACCATGGGACAGGGAGGCACAGCACCTCTGTGAGTTAAGGGGGATCCCCACACCTCTGCAGTTAAGGGGGTCATCCACCCTGTACAAGTTAAAGGGGCACCCTGCATTCCAGGAGGCAATATGGTGGCAGTGGCCCAGACCAGGGCATGTTTTGAACACACGGCCATGGGCTGTTTGACTGTGAAAAGCCCACTGCTGCCTCCTCTCCCCGTTCCCTCACTCCACCCCACTGCCGCCCCTCTCCCATTCCCTCACTCCACCCCATTGCTGCCTCCTCTCCCGTTCCCTCACTCTGCCCCATTGCCCGTCTCCCCGGGGGGCTTTACCTGCCTGGGGTGGGTGTTGGGGCAGGGGCCGGTGGCCCTCCGTAGCGTGTGCTGCTGGCCCCTGTTCTCGGAGGGCAGGCCGTAGCTGGTACAGTGCTCGAAGGGCATGTACTGGTACTGCGGGGCGCTGCCCCACCAGGTCTGCTCGCCCCTGGCTGGCTGAGACCCCCGCTGCTCCATGCCCTCCCCGGGCTGAGGTCTGCTCGCCATCCTCCCCCGGGGCAGGTCCTCGAGCCTGTCCTCCTGCCTGGCCCCAAGGCGTCTGGGGCATGGTGCCCACCCCTGGCTATTTATAGCACCCCCCGTCATCACATGACCCCAGTGCCACATTTGATCCTCCTGGGGTCGAAGCAGGTGTGGGCAGCGTGGTGGGGGCAGGGTGGAGACCTGCGGGACGCAGGGGAATCCTGGGCACTGCCCCCTTTGTCAGCTCCAGGCCTCCAGGCTGGACCAGGGTGGCCCCTGCCCGGCCAGCACTCACCTGCCTGCCTGAGGGCCTCGAGGACACTCACACCTGCCTACTTTCCCACCTGTCTCCTGGCACGAGGGAGAGGGACTCAGGTGTCCAACACCTGAAGGGGGCTCACCGGGGACAGCAGCCGGTGCCGCTCCACCACTGCCCGGGCACTCTCCCGCCGGCCTCCGGCACTCATCCTCACTGGCAGGTCCCGTCTCACTGGTGATCAGCCTCCCCACCTGCCGCCCAGCTCCTGGCCTTTTCTAGGTCTGCCCACCAACCAGGGGCCACCTGACCCCACCTGTCACCCCGAGGTGTGCAGCCCTGGGTTCTGGGGTTCCTCCCGCTTTCCGCACCAGTGCCAGATTTATGGGGAGGCCCATCAGGGCAGGTAGATATGGGAGGGATGCAAGGCTGGGAACTGCCAGTCCCCAGGGATGGTGGGACACACCCTCCTGCTTCCCGTTTCGGGTGATAAACGCGGAGGCCAAGGCCACACGGAGTTCCCAGGACACCCTCCCTGGGGGTGAGGGACAGGCGACAGCAAGGGTCAGAGTGCAGCTTGGAGTTTCTCACCAGGCAGGCAGGGGTGGTCCCCACAGCCTAAGTCCAGGACTGCAGGGTAAGTGCCCCCAAACCTGGGCTGACGGACCGCTAAGAAGATGGGGACCCTCAACAGAACCTTCCCAGCACAAACCCGATGCCTCGAGGCCGTAGTCCACCCGCAGGTGACCCACGCGTGTTGTTGGAGGGAAGGAGGCTCCAGTAACACCGCCAGCTCTGCGGGTGGAGAAGGAGAGACCCAGGCAGGAGTGAGACAGAGCCCCCAAGGTGAGTCCTGGCTTTGGAAAAGGGGGCGCTCACCCGCCTGTGGGAAAGTGTCTGTCAGGGCTTACTTTATGACCCGAGGAAACCAAGGTCTGTCGCAGTGACGGCCACCTCGCCTTTCCTGGGGGCAGCCAGGCTGGCCATGGGCTCCGGCTGCAAAGGCCAGTGGCCTGGGGGGCCCTCCCCTGCCCAGAGCCCACGGCAGCTCTCAGAGCTGGTCTCTGAGGTGAGAAGGGGCAGGGAGCCCGCAGGCCAGGGCTGGGGGCAAGGGGTGGAGGGTGAAGATCCGTGTCCAAGATTCGGAGCGGTTGTCATCTCACGGGGTACCGGCCTGCAGGAGAATGAGGAACTGTGAACGACACCCACCCTGCCTGGCCGAGCACTTACCGTCTTATTTGGGGCCCATGAAAGACTTCTGGGGGGCCCCGTGAAGCCCCTAAATTTGGAAGCAAATTCATCAGTGTGCACAGGTGTGTATTCTCCAGAGGGTTACATCAATTCTCATGGGGTCTGCGGAACCGTCTGAAGCAAGGTTTGGAGGGGTGTGTCGGGCATAGGGGTGTGTAGGAGACAGCCCGCTGGCACCCCCGAACCAAGCTGTGCTCGGATTTTCCTTCTGGACCACACCTGTTTCTGGCCTCCCAACCTGCGGGGTGCTGTGTTACACCCTCTGAGGGCGTGTCCCCTCTCCTCCTCCAGCCAGACCCCAAACCCGTGCCGTCCACTTTCTGCAGACCTTTCTCTCTGGTCATGCCTCCTGGTCCCCGTCTTCCCTCTCTCCTTCCCACACTAGACAACCCTGTTCCCGTTCCCCAGGACGCTCCCTGCTGAGGGTTCAGAGAAGGAAGCCTCCCACAGCAGGGCAGAGCAGACGCTCTCCTGCTGGCTAAGAGCACAGGCTCTGCCTGCGCCCAACGGCCCCTCCGGCTTGTGTCGGATGGCGCCTCCCGCCCAGGTCGCGGTGTCCTCCTCTGTAGCAAGGCAGTGATTCCCGGGTGAGGGAGACAAGACAACACACGCCGCCCTGGCATTTGACCCCAGGAAGCAGGAAGGTCAGTGTCCGTTCCTAATGCTCACTCCGCTCAACAGCCGGCATCTACTGAGCAGGCACTGAGCATCGCCCAGCCACTCACGCCCATGGCGTTTAGTCCCCAACGGGGCCTTTCACGGGGGAAACGACCTTCCTCGTTCTTAGCAGAGGGAAACTGAGGCTGGGGAGGTCAGGCACCTTGACCAAGGTCTCGGATACCGTTCAAGGCAGGGCCCGCGTTCAGATTCTGAAGCGACGCTGCTTTAACAGTTTCAGGGCCCCCGTTTTCTCTTTGGAGAGATGGGGGGGGGGGAAGCGTTGGTGCAGCACCTCTAACGCTCAGCTGGGTCGGTGTGGCTCACGCCCCCCATCTCTCAATCGCTCCGGCTGCTGTCTCCCTGTTTCCTCTTCCTCCTCAGAGGCTGGGAGGGCAGAGCGGGCAACCCCAGCTCCGGGAGGCGTTAACTTTAGAAGAGGATCCCCTGGCAGAAGGAAAGTGGGGGAAGGGGACGGAGCTGTGAAACCCAACGTGCCACCCTGACTCCAAGGCGGGTGTGAGGACAGTTGGAGACCTCGGAGACCACCGCCGGGCTCCGGCCCCAGGGGGCACGCCCCTCCTCCCCCTGGCGTCTTCCTCAGGCAGCCCCCCTCCACCCTGGGGGCTTCAGCTCTTCCTGAACAGCCACCTGCCCTCCTGTTCCTCCTCCCTCCCCTACCCAGCCCACATCGCTCCTTCACAGCCTTCCCCTCCTGACCCCCACTGTCCGCCCACCACACTTGGCCTCTCCAGACCCCACTGCAGACGCCAGGCAGCCCGAGAGTCCCAGCTTCCACGCTCCCCCGGGACCCCCTTCCAGCCCACGGCCACCTAGAAAACCCTAAGTCCAGCCTGGACCAGGTGAGGCTGGGTAGACGGCTCTCCCTACACCTACTGCACCCCTTATTGACATCACCCAGGCCCACGCTGCTGCTGGGGCCACACCTGTATAGGTCCCAGGGCAGAGAAGGAGGCCTCTTGGCTGGAGCAGGAAGAGATGGCAGGGGCCAAAGGAAGGAACACAGGAGGGCTTCAGAGCATGGCCATTGGCAGCAGAGACGCCAGCACACGTCCGGGAATAAACGGCATTTATTTGACACCCGATGACAGTACAGAGCCCTGGCAGTGCGCAGGGTGCGTCCCAACCACGTCCGCGCCGTGCTGGCCCAGGGCGGGCTGGCAGCGGGCCCAGCCCACCGGCCCACAGGGCAGGCCTGGCGGAGCACCTTAACAACGGCAGGCCCGGCCACGTAGCAGGCAGCACAGGAGAGGAAAAGGCTGCCTCACAAGTGACATCTGTCTTCAAGGAGCCAATACCATTCGACCAAACAAAACATGTAGAAAAATAGAGTACAAATGCTACATTGTACATGTGGGCTATTAAGTGCAAAGGGAGACTTGTCATCAAGCAGGGTGCCCGCTGGGGTCTTTCCTCGTGGAGCTTACAACCTAGCGGGGGGACAGAAGTGAACAAACCAAGCAAGCGCGGGATCACACACCGCGGCCAGCGCGATGGCGGAGTGATCAGGCCGCAGCAGCGGAAACAGAACTGTCAGCCACGGACGCCCGTGCAAGCCTCCCGGGGAAGCTGGTGCTGAGGCCGAGGCTCCGAGCGTGGACATGCCAGCCCAGCACAGGCTGCCAGGGCCAGGACGTCTGCGGAGGCCCTGGGCTGCAGCGGACAGAAAGGAGCTGCTAATGCGGCTCCGGCGGAGGAGACCAGCCTCCCGCCAAGCGAGCGGGGCCTGCGGGCCAGGCAGGGAGCGAGATTGTATCTGCCGTGTAATAACCACGAAGCCGAAGGGTTCCAAGCAGTAACACAGTCAGATTCACATGGAAGAAAACGAAGCCACTGCTACAGCGTGGACAACCGAGCAGAAGGGCTGAGAATGGGAGTCACACAGAGACCTTACATGGGAGAGTTCACGGATGCAGAGGTACAGAGGTTTCTGGGGAGGAGGAGTAAGTAGCATGTATGGCAGTAGCCAGGTCCATGGGTGGCACAAACTGTCAAGCGCTCAGCTACTGAAAGGTTGGCAGTTAAAACCCACTCAGTGGTGCCAATGAAGAAAGGCCTGGCCATCTACTTCCGTTAAAATCTAGCCAAGAAACCCCTAGGGGCACAGTTCTACTCCATCACACCTGGGGTCGTCATGAGTCTGGACTGTGGTTTTAGGGCAGTGACCTCATGGAAACGGAGAAGTGCCGGGGCGGGGAAGGAGAGGCAGAGAAGCTGCTACTGGGGCAGAACCAGGCAGTCTCACCACGCCTTCCAGCAGGCCAGTGACCCCAGAAGCAGAGTTCCAGGTAGGGCTGGAGGGGCGGAGGGCGCAGGAGGTGAGGAGGAAGCTTTCATGGGATCCGGAGGCACACTGCCATGGGGAAAGACAGCACCACGGGGAGGGGCACTGCCACGGGGAGGGACAGTGCCACGGGGGGGGCACTGCCACGGGGAGGGACAGTGCCACGGGGGGGCACTGCCACGGGGAGGGACAGTGCCACGGGGGGGCGCTGCCATGGGGAGGCACACTGCGGGTGAGGGGGGAGCAGGAGGAAGTGCACCACCCTGTCACCTCTGCCGACTTGCTCGCTCGCCCCCCCACCAGGCAGAGACCAACGCACCAGACGCAAGGCTGGTATCTTGTGTCTGGGTTTTCAAAACCAAACGGAAAATGGCTGCGTTAAACCGGATGCCTTCCCAGCCCTCCCTCTGGCACAAACGGGGTCGGTCACGTAAAGGAAGAGGTACAGAGGTTTCTGGGAGGGGAGGAGTAAGTAGCATGTACGGCAGTAACCAGGTCCACGGGCGGCACGAACGGCCCTGGGCGGGAACGGACCACGGCTGTGGAGCCCCCTGCCCTCCCCAGGAGGCGGTGCCCACCGCCCCACCCACTGCAGCCACACCACGCTGGGGCAGGGCCAAGCAGGGTGGCTGTGTGGGAGCGACATAACACACGGGGAGCCGGCCCGGAGCGTCCACTAGAAGGGAAGGTGAGGGGCAGGTGGAGCAGGCCTGGGGGCCCCGCATCCCTGAGGGGGACAGGGGCCACCTATCCTGAGAGAAGGCTCCGCCACACCTCCCGAGGTCCAGGGCCTGCAGCGGGGTCACGTCGGGGGCTGTCCCGGGAACAGGTAGAGGTGGCGGCACAGCGTGCTGCAGTACTCAGACATCTCCTTGCAGCGGTGAAACTCGGTGCCGGGGGCGTAGCCTTCCCGCTCCTTGATGAGTGCGTTTACCTGGAGGGGCGGCAGCCGTAGGCCAACAACTGAGAAGGGTGCCTGCGGGGCTGGCCGACGGGACAGAGGGACTTGGAAGGACATGCTAGGCAGAAAAGGGAGCCGCAGGAAGACCCGCACAGCTGACTCACCTCGACCAGCATGTCGGCCACGTGCATGTCGCAGGCCCGCTCGCAGAACACGCGGGCCAGTGCCTCAATGTACCAGGACCCCCGCTTGGTGTTACGCATGGCGGCCGTGCCTGCAACCAGGCATGTCAGACGGCTTGATGGCCGTGGCTGCCCCCACGACCGCCTTCCACAGTGCGACCCCCTCCCACCCGTGGGGCTGTGGGACACAGTACCTCTGAGGCAGGCATAGCCACAGATCATGTCGGAGCGCGTGGGCAGCCGTGTCTTCAGCAGCCCCTCCGTGCTGGCATCACTCTCCTCACACCCGGGGGACCCTGCCTGGCTCTTCCCGTCCTGCTGGTCGACCCCACGATCTGTCTCATCTGCAGAAGGACAGAGTGGACAAAGAGGTTACCTCTGCACATCTCCCAGGCCGATCTCAAGCAAGCCCAGGGTCCCCACGACACTGAGTGGAAGTGCCATTTCCAGCTGTCGCCTCCGACCTACGGCCGACGGGTTAAGAAGTGGTTACACCCACTCCTCTCCCTCCAGCACCCACCTCTCAGGGATGCCTGCTGGCATCCGCTCAAGCACGAGCACACCTGTGCTCGCGCACACACACACGGCCTGAGCTCGCCCACAGCATGGGCGACAGGGAGGGTGCTGCATCAAACACTCCCTGTCACAAGAGCCACAAATCACCTGGGTCTGTGGTCAGCTGTTCCATTACCAGCACACCGGGGAGTGATCGGACTTTTTATCGTGGTACAGGATAAATACCGATAGCTTTATCACACAGGCAAGAAAAACAAGCCAATAAATCAAAAACGTGACTACTACATGTACACGACATAATAGTCGCGATCTCAGATCTGTGTGTTCATGAGAAGAATAAGACTGTCTCCACCGTTTCTGACATTGTTTCTCAGTCACTTATCCTGTTCTCCCGACTCAGAGCCACCCTACAGGACACAGCAGAACCACCCCCCAGGGTTTCCGAGGAGCGGCCGGTGGATTCCAGCTGCCGACCTTTAGGTTAGCAGCTGAGCTCCTACCCACATTCGTTTCAGGAAACTGTCAAAAGACACCTGAGATTTAAGAGAAACTCAAGAGGAAAACCTTAAAACTGGGACAATTTGACTATTTTTTCCTTCAAAGTCAGCAAAGAGCCCAGTACTCAGCTTTAGCAGTAAGTTCTCAACACTCCCTAAGAACACGCCCAACCTCGTGATGGAGCCTCGCCCACCCAGAACACATTCCTGTTTCTGCCCTGGTTTACTGTGGGGGCGGAGGCTGGTAGGAAAGCGAGCAGCCAGGACTCACAGCCAGGACTCACAGCCGGATGCTCCCAACATGAGCGTTTTCTGCTCCATGCAACGCTCAAGAGCACCTAACACGGAAGGAAGGAAGCAGGGCTCCAACCACTGTGGGGAAAAGGACCAAGATTCGTGGATTCAAGGAAAGTGGATCTAGCACCTGCCACGGCCAGCCAGCGCCGTTCTCAGCCCTGGAAGCGCGATGGAGCGCGGCCTGCCCTCTGGGGCTGAGCCTCCGTGCTCGCAGGACGCGGCCGTGCCAACACACACAGCTGGAAGACGGCGAGCTCTGATGGGGGACTGTCACCTCCAAGAACTCAACCGCAGAGAGAAGCGGGGGAGGCAGAGCACCCGACTGCGTCACAACAGAAAGAGCACGTCCTCCCTAGCAGAGCCGGCGTCACCATCGTCACTCTGCGTGTGGAGGAGGGCTTTCTGGAGAAACGCAGCACGCTCTTCCTTCCTTAGCTCGGCCGTGATGACGGGCCCGTGGTCAGCTGGCTCTCCCTCCCTGAGCAGCCACACCTCACCACTCACTCACAAAGAGCTCGGTTCTGATCAGATCCAGGTCCCTGTGGCTCAGTGACCAGGAGGGGAGGGGGCTTGTCACGTGGTGTTGCCCTTTCCCTTCAGAGGGTCTCTCTGCTACTCTAAAGCCAGTTGCCGTCCAGTTGACCCTGACTCATGGTGACCCCGTGTGTCAGAGCAGAACTGTGCTCCACAAGATTTTCAATGGCTGACTTTTTAGAAGTAGATCGCCAGGCCTTTCCTCTGAGGCACCTCTGGGTGGACTTGAACTACCAACTTTTCGGGTTGGAAGCCGAGCGCAAGCACATTCACCATTTGCCCCACCTAGGAACTCCGATCTGCTATTCTAAAACACACACACAAACCCACACCCACTGCCCTCGAGTAGATTCCTACTCATTGCAACCCCACCGCCCCACAGGGTTACCTAGGCTGTAATCTTTACGGGAGCAGATAGCCAGACCTTGCTCCCACAAAGTGGCTGGCAGGTTCAAACTGCCGACCTTTCAGTTACTAGGTGAGCATTTAGCCATTGCACCTCCAGGGCTGTTTATCTGATACCCTACAGCTACACGAATCCTATCACCCTGAGGGCACATTCAACCTTCCACTCTATGGATGCCATCTCCTCGGCAATGAAGCACTTCCAGCAGCCTGGGCCTCTTCCTCACTGCACGTCTCTCCGCCAGGCAGCTCCTGTCCCCATCACTGTGCCTCCACGGGCCGTGGAGCTACTCGCTAGCTGCCTCATGCCTGTTTGCTTCTCTCTCTGGACCATCAGTGAGCCTCTGCAGACTGAGACCTCATGCTTCTTGGTCTTGCGTCCCTGGGTGCCCAGCGTGGCCCTGGTCCCGTGCAAACGGAGGCCCGGTGCCCCTCGGTCCTATGTCCCTGAGCGCCCAGTGCAGCCCTGGTCCCGTGCAGACCAAGGCCCCGTGCCCCTCGATCGTGCGTCCCTGAGCACCCAGCACGGCTCTAGTCCCATGTAAACCGAAGCCTCGTGCCCCTCGGTCCTGCATCCCTGAGCACCCAGCGCAGCACTGGTTCCGTGCAAACCAAACCCTTGTGCCCCTCGGTCCTGGGTCCCTGAGCGCCCAGTGTGGCCCTGGTCCCATGCAGGCCGAGGCCCCACGTCCCTGAGCGCCCAGTGTGGCCCTGCTCCCATGCAGGC